TGATGTTGTAAAAAGACTTGAGCAGGAATGACTTTAGTAAGAGGATCAACAACTTGTTCACTAGAAGGAATATATTGAATCTGAAGAAGCCCTTGAGTAACTCTGTCTCGTATAAAGTGATAGTCAATCTCAACATGCTTAGTATGAGCATGGAGAATAGGATTGACACTCAAATGAATAGTGCTCAGATTATCACAATAAAGTAGAGGAAGAATAGTATAAGAAAGATGGAGCTCCTTTAAGACAGATTCAATCTAGATAATTTCCGTAGCAGCCTTAGTAATTGCCCTATATTTAAATTTAGTGCTAAAGCGAGAAACTACTTTCTATTTTCTAGATGCCCAAGAAATAAGATTACTTCCTAGAAAAATACACTACCCACTGGTACTCTTCCTATCATCTGGACAACTTGCCCAGTCAGCATCAGAGTATGTAGTTATAGATAAAGTAGGATCAATGGTGAATGTAATTCCAAAATTCTGAGTGCCTTGAAGATATTTAAGTGTTCACTTTACAGCTTGAAAATGAGTAGTGGTAGGGGCATGTAAGAACTGACAAGTCATATTAATAACAAAGAAAATATCGAGTCTGATGATAGTACAATACTGTAAGGCTCCGACAAGACTGCGATAGACAGTAGGATCATCAAGTGGCTCACTAGTATATAAGGATAACTGAGTAGTAGAAGCTATTGGTGTAGAAATAGGCTTACAATCTGAAATGCCTGCTTTATGTAAAAGATCTTTGATATACTTTTCCTGGCAAAAATGCATAGAAGTGTCTGTTCTGGTTATTTGAATTCCCCCAAAATAAGAAACTTCTCCCAAATCTTCTAAGGAAAAAGATTTATGGAGTTGGGTTATAAGTTGTTTAATAAAAATAGCATAAGATCCAGTAATCAGAATATCATCAACATATACCAAAATAATAGTGATGTGGCCCAAATATAAGCGATAGAACATAGAAGAATCCGTCTTGGAATTTGGAAATCCCCAGTAAAGAAGGCAGCTGCTTAATTTCATATACCAAGCTCTTAGACTTTGTTTAAGTCCATAAAGGGCTATTTGAAGTTTCCAAACATGAGATGGAAACTTAGGATCTTCAAAACCAAGCAGTTAAGGCATATAAACAGTTTCAGTGAGATCACCATTAAGAAATGCATTATGAACATCCAGTTGCTTAATAGACCAACCACGAGAGTGAGCAAGAGATAAGACAAGACGTACAGTTGTTGGCTTTACCACTAGACTAAATGTCTCAGTATAATCAATGCCAGGAGTTTGATGAAATCCTTTTGCCACCAATCGAGCTTTGCACCTCTCCAAAGAACCATCAGATTTTAACTTGCCTTTGAAAACCCATTTGCATCCAATAACTTTTTGGGATGAAGTTCTAGGAACAAGAATTCAAGTGTGGTTTTTATGTAGAGCTGTTAACTTATTATGCATAGCATCTAACCATTGAGGATGATTTTTGGCTTTAGCAACATTGTTAGGTTCTACAGGAATAGCATGGTAAACTTTTGGCTTAGAAATACCAAATTTGGATCGTGTAACCATGGGATGGTTATTTGTTGTAGTATTTGAGGATTTTGTAAAGAGGAAATGGTGGGAGACAGATTATCAAGCGAAATAGGAGATACAAATAAAGAAGTTGAAGAAGAAGAAAAATTCTTTGAAAAAGATGAGGAAAAGGGAATATTAGGAATATGAGGAATAATAGAAGAAGGGATAAACCAAGTAGGTGAAGAAGAAGTCTGAGAAGAACTGTCTTGGAAAGGAAATCAATTCTCATCAAAAATTACATCATAGGAAATATATGGTCGACCAGATGATTTGTCAAAACAAATGTAGCCTCTATGATGTGTGCTGTGACCCAAATAAACACATTTTGTAGTTTTAGGTTGAAACTTATGAGAATGATAGGGTTTGAGTAAAGGAAAGCAAGAACAACCAAAGATACATAAAGAAGAGTAAGAAGGAAGTTTATTGTGAAGAAGTTGAATAGGTACTTGATATTGAAGAGGCCGAGATGGTAGATGATTAATAATGGTTGTTGCTTTATAGAATGCATAAGGCCAGAAAGACATAGGAACATGAGAATGAAAGATAAGAGAAAGACCGATCTCAACAATATGCCAATTTTTACGTTCAACTCTACCATTTTGTTGAGGGGTGTAAGGACAAGCAAGTTCATGATGAATACCAAGAGAAGATAGAAAAGAATGTAAATGATGAAATTCTCCTCCCCAATCAAAACGAATTCTTTTAATAGAAGCTGAATATTGATTTTTGATCATTGATAGAAAGGATTTAATTAAAGGAAATGTTTGACTTTTCATGTGCAGGAAGTATATCCAAGTAAAGTGAGAAAAATCATCGACAAAGATAAGAAAATATTTAGGCTCAGTAATAGATTGTATTGGAGCTGGTCTCCAAAGATCAGTATGTACAAGTTCAAAAAGTTAAGATGCACGCTGTTTAGAAAGAGAAAATGGTAAACGATGATGTTTAGCTTTTAAAAAGGTTTGACATAGAGATGTGGCATTACTATGAAAATTTGTAAGATTACAAGACTTAGCAATCTTTTCTAAAACATCATGACTAGGGTGATCCAGTCTAGCATGACAAACATTATTTAGGAGAGAATCTTGAAAATGTACAAAAATTGAGAATGGAGTTTGTGATGCTATAGTAGTAGTAGGAAAGTTGACTGGAGAGGAGGTCAACTTGTAGAGGCCTTGGTCATACGTCCCTTTGAGAAGGTGTTGATGAGATTGTTGATCCTTGATACAAAAGAATCAGAGTCAAATTCAACAATAACATTATTATTAGAACATAATTGGGAAACACTAACAAGATTTTTGCAAATATGAGGAGCATGAAGAATTTCTTGAAGGAATAGAGGTTTAGGAAAGGATAAAAGAAATTTAGAACCAATATGATGAATAGGAATGAGTTTACCATTTCCCACCATAATTTGTGAACTACCTTGATAGGGTGTAGCATTACTGACGGTGTCCACAGAGGAAGTAAGATGATGAGTTGCCCCAGAATCTAGAAACCAATCATCCACAGTGGTTGTTGGAACTTGTGTGTCAGATGGCATATTTGGAGAGAAATTATCACAGTAATGAGTGGAAACAGTAAAATGAGCTTGGATTGGGTAATTTGGATTAAGCCTATGCCAACAGTGGGCAGCAGAATGGCCCATTTTGGAACATATTTGGCACTTGATTTTGGATTTTGGGCCACACCAATTAGGGCCTCGGGAGGTAAAGTTTAGGCCAAAAGGATGCTAGACCCAAATGGCGCAACCTGACTTGTCGAGTTCTGGGTCGGGTCATAGTATGGGTCGGGTTAAAAAAGGGAAAATTACCAAGGAGCCCCTCTTCTCCATCATTTGTTCCCTGCATACACCAACTCCAGAACCTTCCACGATTCCTGTTTGACTGGTTTCCTCGAGTCAGCCAAAAATTTCTTTGATTAGAAGTAGCAGAATGGAGATTCGCTTGAGGAAGAAAAGTTGTATCGATAGAAAGGAGAATTTCCATCTTGCAATCGAACACCATTAAAAGACTTTGAATCTTTGCTATGGATGGAGTATCAGGCCGATTATACCCAGAAGTAACAAAGGGATCATATTCTGCAGGAAGTCCTTCAAGCAAATAGCCTAAATAATCGCAATACGAAATCGGTTCTCCTATTGTTGCGAGTTGATCGGTTATATTCTTCAAATCACTCAAATACTTTTCCAAAGAATTTCCACCCTTTTTTAATTGTTATAATTGAGTGCGAAGACTCATAATACATGCTGTTGATGATGATTCATATCGTAGAAGTAAGGAATCCCAAATCTGCTTCGCAGTTGATAAACCAACAATGTGCCCTAGAGGTTTGGTAGATAAGGATGCATAAATCCAACTCATAACGAGTCTGTTAGTTATTTGCCAAGTAACATAGTCAGGATTCTTCTCAATTCTATCTTCATCTAAAAATTCAATAAGAGCTTTGATTTCACCAGTTATGTATCCTTCAAGGCCATTCGCATATATTATGTTGAGCATGTGATTCTTCCAAATCATAAAGTTTCCTTGATCTAGCTTGATTGTTAAAGTTTGAGGAAAAGCAGTTGTTGAAATTTGGTTTGCTAAAGATGAAACATGTTGTAGAGTACTTGTACTTCACCTTGAATTTGCAGAGTCTTGAGCCATTGTTGTATTATGAAATTTGAACTATATGAATCGTGTACTACTGCAATCTGCTTCGTTATCTGCTACAATCTGCTTCTACTGTTAATTATTGCAATCTGCTTAGCAATCTACTTTATATTCTTCTGCAATCTGTTTCTACAATTAATCTTTCTGCGACAATCTACTTTTATTGTTAATCTTTGCTATATACTGCTTTTTGCTGTTGTTTACTGCTTGAACCTTCTTCTTGCTTCGACTAAGTTCTCACGCAGGAAAAAAAAATTAGAACTGCTGCTAAGCTTGATCTGCTCTGATACCATGAAGAAATTTAGAATAGGAAGAAATTGATAGAAAGGGAGGAATGAATTGAATGAATCATTGTAGTACAGGATCCCTCTATTTATAAAGAAAGGAGGGATTTAGTTACAACTATAACTAACTATAGTTAGTTAGTCTCAACCATCTATAACTACCTCTCTAACTGTAAACTAACTATCTAACTTCTTTTCTGTTTTTTGTTTTTTGTTTATCAGTTACCAAATTCCATTGCTGCAAAATTTATATTCCTAGAAAACAATTATTCTTATGGAAATCCAATTAATTTATTTTCCTTGAGAATTTAAGTGATTGGCATGTATTTTTCTTAATTAATACTTAAAGAATTTGTTCAAAATGATTTTTCCACGTTGGTTTTCACTTTATTGTGGAAGTAATTTAAAATTGTAAGGCATTCATCTGTATATAAGGATAAAGAGTAAAAAGTGAATGCCATGAAAAAGGATTTCTGGAAATAAGTAATTTGAAGATCATGGATAAGTTTGTTCTCTTGCTCGTCCTCTTCTTGTGCAGTGCCCGCATAACTCAATCTCTGAATGGAGAACCGCTGGCCAAAGAGCTTGAGCTTCATGATACTGGAGTGCCCGGAAAGTCAAATATACATTTTGGCCCAAAGAACACAGTTCACATCATCGATGCTTTGCCTATTGGGGATCTGAAGTTTCACTGCAAATCTAAGGACACTGATCTTGGGATGCACGACGCTACAGCGGGTGAGGAGTATTATTTTAGTTTTTATGAAGATATTTTCGAAAGAACACTTTTCTTTTGCAATTTCATGCACAATCAACATAGACAGAGTTTTGATGGTTTCGATAGTGCTCTAGAAGTGAGGTGTGTAGATTGTTATTGGCTGGTGAGATATGACGGATTTTATTTTAGTGATGATGGTATTTCTTATCTAAAGCAATATAGTTGGATTGGATAAGATTATGTATGTTTCAAGTCAACAATAAATTCAAATTATATTAATTTTTGTTTGTTGTTTAACCTATATACTATTTTCTATTTCTATTCTCTCTCTCTATTTTATTGTTAATAAATTGGCAACTCTGCAAAGGCAATGCGTAATGCTGTGACTAATGCCTCATTTGGGTGTCGATTGCCATAAGAGCACCTAGTGTCTGTTCAACATTGATTATCTATTATCTCTCATTTGGGTTTCAATTCATTACGTTTATGTCCATATTTTACTAAGATTTATTACTATTCGAAATGCATATAATAATTTTTTTTTGCATATCTATTAACCCAATAAATTTCTTAAAGGGATTTGGTACGTGCCTCTTTTTTCTTCTCTCTCTCTCTCTCTCTCTCTCTCTCTCTCTCTCTCTATTTTTGGGGGGAGGGGGCGGGGGGGAATTGGGATGTGCTGTTCCTTACGTCACCAATATCATTCCAAAGGGTTTGGGAACAAATTTCTTTATCGTGGGCAACAAGAAAGGTGAGAGAAAATGAGTATTATGACTTTTAATAAAACAAAAATTTGGAAGCTTTAGGCTATGAAAGACTATGATTCTTTAGTTATTTAATATAAACCATTCACCATTATAAAACTATAAAAAAATTGGGGTAAAGTGATAATGGGAACTATTCAAGGAGATCTACGATGTGGGAGAATTTTTTTTGAGAGATTTGAATTTAATTAGAGATTCTATTTAGATTATACTTTTATTTTATTTATTTTTAAAATTAAATCTAGATTTATTTGAGATATAAAATTTAAATTTCTACAATTATATCAAAAGAACAATCTTATTTTTTAAAGACTTTTTAGTATATAGGAGTCCTCCATTCTATGGGATTATTTTCCATAAAAAGGAGGCTATCTCCAAATGTTCAAGGTACAATCAGAATTTTTCGACAAAAAGTTAATAGTTCCTTCAATCATTTCTGCACTTGGAAAGAAAATCAACAAATTTTAGCCAACATTAGCATAAGGCTTTGTGATAATCGAGCCCTAAAATTCATATATTTGAATAGGAATTGCGTTTGTAATTAGATTTTTATGAGATTTTAGTTTGAATTTTTTTGATTCCATTGTAATGTACTCTTGGCTTTCTTATTAATTTATGCAATTTTTCTTTTTTTTTTCCTATAATTATTCTGATTAAACTTGAATGATTCCTTTTCAGTAAATCTATTTAGCCATTACATGTACTCTTAAGAAATTATAGATCAAGCTAACACCGTCTGATCCAAAAAAACCCAACAAACTTGTAGACATGCTAGTGGATTACTTGGAGCTGAGGTGCCTCAAACTTACAAAGAGGGAAGCCTATGTGGACAAAAACCCAGCATGTGAGAAGAGCCAATATGAGATCCTAATGTTGTGGACTAGAGAGGTATTCACAATCTCATCAAAGATGAAGTGGAAAAAGGAGTTAATGAAACCTTTTCGACGAAGATAAAACTCCTCACTCTCTGGAACTTCGTTGTTGCACAAATTCTTCGACTCTTGTTTTCCAATTTTTCACAATTCCTCTCCTCAACAATACAATATCGGCTTCCATCACCCTCGTTTTGCTCTCATTTTCTCTATTTTGTTCCCACACCATTGCTTGGAAAACATGATTGAACAATTAATGATTCAGTAAGCAGTAGCAATGTACGTTTTTTTAACTAATGAATTCCATCTACTTCATAGATTACTTCTACCCTTGATCTTTCAATTAGGCCCAGAGATTGCCACCTTGACTTGAATGATGATGATATTGGTATTGGGTAAGACCGACAGCATTCTTGATATATTGTTATTATTAATAATTATTACAATTAAATAGAGCAAATCAATGGTGTGTCAAGAAAACAAGAAGTCATAATGCAACGCAAAGCCCAAAGGACTAATTTTAAAACGCAGTAGATTAAATGAAAAGGCAATTATCATCTACAGAAAGGAAAGAAACTGTCACGCCTTACCACTACTGACTCGGTAAGGCATAACAGCCAGGCAGCAACTGACATGCCGCTGTGCCCCTTGACCCAGTGGCACATCCGCCACTGTAACCCTGCTCTAGCACTTTTCCATTAAACTACTCTACCAATCTACTTGACATGCATTTTCACTGTTTGAAATAATTTACATACTCACCTTAAACCTCTTTAACTATGTTGGCCCAACCTCACCTACATGTGATGCGATACTACTATCCTTGCCAATTCCTGCATAAGAAAATAGGAAATAAGACATTTGTTCTAGTGAATGGCACGCTGCCTAATCTTAGTGGAAACAGTCAGATTTTCATCATACCATTTTTCAAAAAATTTCGACAAAATAAATATAACATATGAATTTTGCTAAAGAAATCAAATCTGTGTAGTAACATCAATCATCATATAAACTAATGTGGTTAAAATAAACCAATATAGCTAGAAATACTGAGAGTCTATAAATCCATAAGAAAACTCAGATCAGGAAAATCACATCTATGTCGGTAATTAGATTTTTGTATAAGAATCATCAAAACAGGATATCAGTCTATGTATCTTTAAGAAATCAGAGAAACATGCTTTTTCGTGAAATTCCATGAGCATGACATAGCAAATAAACTCAAGTCAAGAAAATCACATCTGTATGAGAAAATCATGTTTGCATAATGATCATCGATCAGAATACCAGTCTATATATTTGAAGAAATCAGAGAAGCACAGAAAATTTGAAATCATAAGAATTATGGTGCATATATCATGTGTGTGTCTTTGATCGGTGTGCACAACCGATAATGGTGCATCTGTGAGGGCAATAAAATCATAAAATTTAGTAATGTCAATAAAACATGTTGGGTGCTACTGCATTGTGAAATTTGTACTGAGGGTTACCGCAGTTCTCTCACCTAGACTGACACAATCTACGGCCTTTGTAATACTCTGAAATCTTCTACAGGATTCAAATACTATACTCTGTCATATACTATGTCATATACTGTGATGCATATAGAACTACCACCTGCCCCAGGTGGTTGCCCGACATTTAACTTTGGTGCCAAAGCAAAAATCATTAGAAAAATCATGACTATCATCAAATCTGTCATATGGTTGAAATCAGAATATAACTAACGTGTTTCCAGTTTTATATATCAACATGAAACATCTTTGAAAAATAGATTTTTATTTTTATAAAAATGTTAAATTGAACACATCATAGAAATCAGAAATAGCTGACTGCTTACTTTTTGAATATTAATATACGGATGGTTTATCAGATACAATCATTATTGAATTTTATTTTTATTTAATAAAAGAAAACATATTTTGAAAAATAGCTAAGATTAGGAAGATGCCACTCACCTGCTATCAATTGAAATTTCTCAACTTTGACCCCGATGATCTTCCGAGTACTTGCACTCTTTTTACCTAGAAGTTTATAAAATATCTATGCTAAGCTCAAACCATACTCAGTAAATACATAAAATTAAAATTTACTTATTCTTGAAAGATTGATAAATTATTTATTTATAAATCCTTCAAACTAACTAATTGTCTCTAAATTGACTTTAAAATTCTTAAGTTGATTTAATTTTTCTTAATTATCTTTGAATCGGACATAATTCCCCATTGAACCGGCCTTAATCTTCTCTAAACCGGCCCGAAACATACTCAAGTGTCCTTAAATTGGTTTAATTTTCAAGAACCTAGCCTAAACCAGCTTCAAAGGTTATTGAACCGGCCAATCCCAAGCCCAAAATCCTCTAAACTGGCCTGACTATTAGTGAACTGGCCCGGTTTATCCTTGAACTGGGCTTGTTTGTCTTAAATAACAAATCAACTTAACCCATGTTGAACTGGCCGAAACTAGACTGAACCGGTTTAGGAAATTACTTACATCATGTGTATCTTAATTAAATCTTCTCAGAACCGGGATGAACCGGATTTAAAACCCCTCAGATCGGCTTGAACCAGCCGTTTCTTCTCTAAACCGGCCCGAAACATACTCAAATGTCTTTAAATTGGTTTAATTTTCATGAACCTAGCTTAAACCAGCTTTAAAGGTTATTGAACCGGCCAATCCCAAGCCCAAAATCCTCTGAACGGGCCTAATTATTAGTGAACCGGCCCGGTTTATCCCTGGACTGGGCTTGTTTGTCTTAAATAACAAATTGACTTAACCCATGTTGAATTGACCGAAACTAGACTGAACCAGTTTAGGAAATTACTTATATCATGTGTATCTTAATTAAATCTTCTCAGAACCAGGATGAACCGGATTTAAAACCCCTCAGATCAGCCTGAACTAGCCGTTTCAAGTTCAATTTGGCCGAACCCGGTTCAAATGAACCGAACTGGCCAGACAGACCCGATTCTAGTTGGGTTTTGTCTTCTTCGCCCATGTCCCCTATATAGACTCGAATGACCCAAAGCTGAAAGTTTTGAGTCTTACCTAGAATTTCGATGCTGTCCAATGATCGACCCATATGGTAGAACACTTGCCGAACTCAGTTAGCCTCTTTCTTGACTGAGCCAGTAGCCGGAATAGCTAAAAATCCCACTAGTTTTTCTCCTCTATTCCGGCCGACTGCAGAGGATCCAAAACTGTGTCAAATTTGGAAAGAATCTGAGCTCCCTTCATCTTTTTAAGGCTCGTATGCCTTGAATAACTGGATTCGGAAATTAAGGTTTTGTTTTTTGGGCCAATTGCCACCTTAACATGCCGGGATTTACAGAAGGTTTCTAATGGAATGTTTTCGGTTCACCAGGATGAAATCTGGTCTGGTTTGTACGACAAATCCTAAGTTACTTCCAAGGTCTCTCTCTCCCTTTGAAATCAAATGCCTCCTGGCCAATTTATAAGGTTCTGGTCGAAGCCAGAACCGTTGACTAAGTCGGTAACTGCCATTGTCACCGACCTTACAAGGTCGTTTTTCTTTTTTTTCTTTTTCTTTTTTTATTTTGATCCTTGAGCTTTTGATCCCTTTTTAAATTGGTCCCTGATAGATTTTTAACTTGACCCCGAATTTCCTACACCTTCACTTTGACCCCTCTCTTCTTTAATTCTCTACAATTAAATCCTTAGAGTTTTATAATTAAGCCCTTATTGATTCAATTTCTGCAACTATACCCCTCCATTCTTCCATTTAGGTCCTAAACCCCTTTCAGTTTCTTCAATTGCCCCTTTTTAATTTAAACCCTTTCAATTGAGCCCCAATTCCTCCATTCTTCTATTAAAATCCTCAAATTTCCATACTAAACTTCTAATTTGTAGACCAATGGCCCTATCCAAAATTCTTAATTATTATTATTTGTTTATTTTGACTAGATTAAAGAAAGCTCCAAGGATCAGGATGTTACAGAAACTATTAATTGAACGCCTAAAATTATGGTGATCAACTCCCCCGTCCTTGTATCCTAGGCTTTAGGTTCAAAACCCTAATTGTGCAAAATCAGAGTTAGCGAATAAACCTAGCCTTTGGCAAGTCGAACTCACCAACAACCATTGGGAGGCAGTGATAGTAGCTGTGTGTTGCTCGCAGTGAAAGGAAAAATAAAACATTGAAAATGACACATTTACAAAATTGTCAGTGTATTTCAATTTTATACCAAAACAAAAAACTAAAAAGAACAGTTTTGTTACTTTTGATTTTTAACCTATTTTTGAAATATTTTTAAGAAATGAAAATAAAAAATGACTCGCTAAATGCATTTTCAACATTATTTTTTGTGTTCACGAAAAAATAAAAATAAAAAATGAGTAAACCAAACATGTCCTTTTATAGTATTCATTATAAAGACATTGATCATAAATGTTGACAATTATTTTTAAAATTCAAAGGAAAATGGTTTAATTATATAACCAATTTTTGCAACGGACAAATTTGAACATATTTTTGATGCCAAAAAATTACTAGATGGTTGTAATTTAATCTCAATTTTTGAGTAATTAACTAATCCAAACAAGTTAAAGTAATTAATAGATATTTATTTAAGTAATATATCGAAGAAATATATATGCATTTCCATTTTCTAATTGCTTGATTTGGTAAACTATTTTACTAGTTCCACTGCTACAAAATTTATATTCCTAGAAAGCAATTATTCTTATGGAATCAAATCAATTTTTTTCCTTAAGAATTTAAGTGGCTGGCATGTATTTCCCTAAATTAATTCTTAAAGAATTTATTGAAAATGATTATGACGCGTTGGTTTTTACATTATTGTGGTCGTAATTCGAAAATCTGGGGGCTTCATCTCTATAAAAGGATAAGGAGCAACAAGTGAATGCCATGAAAAAAGTATTTCTGGAAATGGATAATTTCAAGGTCATGGATAACGTTGGTCTCTTGCTCATCCTTTTCTTATGCAGTGCCCACACAACTCAATCTCTGAATGGAGAACAAGTGCTTGAGCTTCATGATATTGGACTGCCCGGAAGGTCAAATATTCATTTTGGCCCAAAGTACACGGTTCACATAATCGATGTTTTGACTAACGGGGACCTCACGTTCCATTGCAAATCTAAAGACACTGATCTTGGGAAGATTAACGCTACATCGGGTGAGGATTATCATTTTAGTTTTTATGAAAATATTTTTGGAAGAACACTTTTCTTTTGTGGTTTCGCCCATAATCAACAGAGACAAAGTTTCGATGTTTTTGATGGAGCTCTAAAAATGAGATGTGTAGACTGTTATTGGCGGGTGAGAGATGATGGATTTTATTTTAGTGATGATGGTATATCTTATCTGAAGCAATACAGTTGGATTGGATAAAATTATGTATGTTTCAGGTTGACAATAAATTCGAATTCTATGAATTTTATTTTTTGTTTAACCTACATACTATTTTCTATTTCTATTCTCTACCACTCTATTTTATTTTTAATAAATTGGCAACTCTGCAAACGCAATGCCTAATGCTATGACTAATGCCTCATTTGGGTTTCGATTAAGGGCACTTAGTGCCTTTACAACCTTGATTATCTACTGTCTCCCATTTGCGTTTCAATTCATTATGTTTATATTTATATTTTTCTAAGATTGTCTACTATTTTTAATGCATATAATAATTTTCTTTTGCATATGTATTAATGCAATAAATTTCTTAAAGGGATCTGATACGTGCCTCTTTTTTCTTCTCTTTTTTTCACTTTTACAAATTTTGAAGCGTCTTAAATCTAACCAACCTTAATTTTGAATTAGTAATAATGGGTAAAGATTCATAAAAATATAATCATGTTTTAGATATATGACTAATATTAAGTAGTAACGTTATTGAATGGAACTATTATTTTTATTACACATAATTTGGTACACTAAATATAAAGATTAATATTTTAACTTTTTTTGTGTCATAATTTTGTGCACGTGCAATGCACGTGTTACCCTATGAGTAGATGGTGGAGCAGAAATTTTCTTAAATGATTTCCTTCCTTCCTGTTTACAACAAGAATTACTATGGCACATGGCAAGTAGAGAGAAGAATTTAAATTACTGACATTCGAACCGGCGAACAAATTTGAACCTTGGATGTCCAAATCTGATCATATCTGACATTCGAATCAACCATGATAACTGAGCTAGAAGAGAGATGACATCGTTTAAGTAAAACTTAATAGCTTACTGTAGAAGGCTCATCAGGATCTCAAACAAGACATGACCAAGTGTTTCCGACTTATTTAGAGCATGTTCACCGGAATGTAACCTCCCATGATAGTTATGGTAGACGTAAGAAGGATAGCCGCCGGCTTGAAGAAGTATAAAAAATTTCGCACCTAGTGAGCACCTGCAAACAACTCCAGAATGCATCTCTGCACAACTAGCTCTTTAGCATCCTTGGTATATAGTTCATAGAGTTAGGAATTTCTCATGTAATAACTAAGAATAAAGAGCATTTAGGCTACAAACTAGTGTTGGATTGCTGCGTGAGTGCCTTTTCACTTATATAAAGCGAGTTTGGTAATGAGTAAAGGGTGAATGTTAATTCAAAAACGTAAATTTGTCCATTCCTTTTATTTACGTTTAATAAGTTCTAATTTATTCTAATATTTAATATAATTTAATTGAAATTTATTAAGCATTTTCGCGATTTATTGAGAATAATTGTATTTCAAAATTTCAATCTTCCTGGTCCTAATGAGATTTGAGTTTATTTGGTAACTTAATTGGGTTTTAATTACAAATTTTCAGGTTATAAGCATTTTGAGCCCGTTTGATTAAGAATTTACAAGCCCATTTGCATGAGGAATTCTCAACTAAGTAGGAATGATAGAATAGTAATTTCACGAAGAGAAAAAAAAAAAAAAGAGAGAGAAGTTAGGGATAGAGATAGGTCCTTATCCAAGACATAAAAGCTGGAAGTTTTTCAAATTTCATTAATTCTTGACCATAAAAAATTCAGAGCGTTGTAGAGAGGAGATTAATTAGGGGAGAAAATGTCACGACCCAAAATCGGATACATGATTGGTGCAAGAGTCAGAATGAATCCCAACCCTGCAAGTCTAACAGAAGTACAGAATTTAACTGAAAATAGAAAATCTGATATAAATAAAAAATGAAATCCAAATCATACTAACTGAATTGTCAACACAAAATAGAAATTCTGTTTGTAGTCAAATGGAGCATACTAAAATTCTAAGAATACAAAGTTTGATAGAAATTGAATAAGTAACTTTGAAAATAAAGTCTAAACAGAAACAGATAATAATGCAGACTCATCTCAGATAGCAGAATCCACCGAACCAACGTACTTAGAATCTAAAAAAAAAAATAAGGGTGAGTCTATAAAGGCAGTGAATAATAATCTATATCTATGAGAACAAAGGACATGCATATAGATATTACAAGTAATTTATTGAAAATAGGTTTTTCACAAACATTTTTCATAGTTTAGAGAGTTCATAATCTTAAATGTAACATATATCGGGAAACAGAATGGCGACACATAGTCAACCGGTAATTAGGGCGACGACACACAATCAGTCGGTAATCAGAATGGCAACATATGCCCAAAAATAGGATGACAACATATCAGTCTGCCCGGATAATAGAACGGCAGCATATTAGCCATGTTGATAAATAAAAATCTGAAAATCTAACACCATCACTCCTACTAGATGGGGACCCATACATGGTATAAATCAGTTTAAAACTGATAAACAGAACTCAGAAAGTCTAGTACCATCACCCCTGCTAGATGGGGACCCGTACATGATGCAAATTAGTCTAACGCATATTGCCGTTAACTATAGTATTCTAAAATCTGAACTCTCTCAAAATATTATTTTCCAAAAAATATCACAACAATTTAACAAAATCTTTCCATTTACTGATATAAGCTGAATCAAATGTAAATAATAGATAGGTTTCCCAAAACAAATTCAGAAATTACATGCATGTCCCTTGTTACACAATTTGACAGAATTTAAGTAAATTTTCAGAAAACAGATATATAATATAAAACCAGATTTATTTCAAATATGGAAAGCAAGAAAGCTCATAAATACATATTATTATTCACAGAATGGTGTAACTAAAAAATCCAATATCTGACAACATGGGCTCAACCAGAATTGTACAATCAATCTAAAGTCATGAAATAATAACATATTTCAATTTTATGCTTCTAATATTCAATTAAAGAAAATTTCCTAATCAAGGAACCAAATAAAATTCTAAGTTTTCGTGCCCGGACCCATACTACGGTCACTAAGGTCCTGAACCGGTCAAATAAATCATTAACCAAGTATCAAAGTCATAACCCAATCTCTCAAAACATCAAAACTAGTCTATTTAAACCCAAACAATTCTTTAATTTAATAAACCAATCATGAACCGGCCATTAGAAGGTTGAACCGGCCATGAATTAGTCATTAGAAGGGTGAACTGGCCATGAATCAAACTTTAAATCACTGAGCCAGTCATAATTCAATTTCTATAACACTGAACTGGCCTTGAACCGGTCTGAAAACCACTGAACTGGACTAGAAAGACATTGAACCGGCCATTTATATGTTGAATCAGCCGGTTTTATGCCTTTATTCCCTTGAACCGGCCCCAAAACAATGTTATTTTCACTGAACCGGAATTAAACTAGTTAATTTAATTAGTTATCTAATTTATCATAAAATGAACTGGAAATAAACCGATCAAAATCTATGTGAAGCAGCTGGTTTTCTGTTTTCTTCCCTATTTTATTAGTATTATTATATTTTTCAAATGAGCATAATACCCCAAATTTCTTGGGGTATTACAGAAAAAGTTGCTTTCAAACTTGAAAAAGTTAAAAGTTACTTTAGCTTGGCGGAGGATATTTCTGCACAAGCTAATCGAGGATTAAAATTTGTTTTCTAGTTTTTATTTTTTTTTTTGAATTCTAGATTTAGATTTTGATTATTTGTTTGGATTAAATGTTTTTAATAAATTTCTATTGGATGTTTATTTTAAATATGAACTAATTCATCTTTCTAGGGTTCCAATGGAACTTAACATGTAGTTTGGATTTCTGATTTTTTTAATCAAATTTGTGAATTGTTTATTCACCCTTATATTTAATACTTTCAATCCGCTTGATCCTCGGAATATATAGATTAGAGATTGAATAGCTTATACTTGATTTAGTTACAAGGATTTCATGAGTAGGATAGGAATTACTTGTTCATCTTAGGTAGCCAAATTGAAATTTGGATTTAATAAATTTAGTTAATTTCAAATTATATACAAATATAGTAATTTAGATTTAATTGAGTATTTTTATAATATTTTAGGAGAAAATAATAAAGAATTTGAAATTTCAAGTTAACAGTTCCAACATGTTTATAAATCAGAAAAATAATGAAAGAATTTCAAATGAATTATTAATGGATGTTGAAAACCCTAGATTCTTTCTGTTAGTTTCTTTAGAATCTATGAATTGAGATCTTTTTTTAGTTTATTTTAATTTTTAGTTATTACTTCTTCAAGATAATTGATTATTTGGATAGAATTGAATTGTGTTAATATTAGTATTTAGTAATTAGTTTTTGGTTAATTTTTCATGAGAATGATATTTTATTCATTATATTACTTGTCACGAGACGTATAGTTGTGTTTTAAGAATAAATAACAACAATCAAAAACACTTTCCTACATTTTTTGCTGCCTCTATTTAGTTTTTTCTTTATTAATAAATTTTTGTTGATATATTTTTTAGGACAAAACCCCTAATTCTGTAACCACACATTTATATTTAGATTATCATTCCATTATTTTAATTTTGTTGTATCCCTTCTAGTATTTATATCTCTCTCATTTGGCGGGGAGAAATCAGAGCGCTACGAGGAACATAGGTAATTCCCTAAAAAGATTTAAGACACATACATAAAATTTAGTGATGATGGGTCTTCATCCGTTACAATTTAGATTTCCTAATAGCAAAGTAACGGTTGAATCTCTCATGAACGTGAAATTACAGATTCCGATTTTATTAACTTGCACATCAATCAAACTATTGCAAGTAAAATTGGATTTTTAGATGTTAAGCACCAATCCGTGTGTAGTGAAGAGGATTACTTCTATATGTGCATTCTAATGAAACATTTGTGGAGCAAACAAAGCTAGAATTTCCATTCCATGCTTTGGCAAGAAATTGTGAAATACTGGGGTCCTGTAATTAGGGTTGTTAACGGATTAAGCTAATAAAGGATATTTAGATAATATTAATATATCTGAGGATGAATTTGACCAATCAACATCTTTATAAAGCTTGTTGCAATGGCATGTGGTGAGTCAATTCA